AAGGAGGGGGCTTTGTAGAAAACGAAGCGTTTGAGAGAGGCGGGGCATATAGTACCTACAATAATGTACAGTATTTGAAAAATAATGTGTTTTTTGAACATTAAAGCATGTCAACATATTCTGTTACACCAAATACACAAAATAATGATCTTTAAAAAAGCATCATATGACCCCTTTAATCATTATATACACAACACATATGAATATATGACTTTATAGCTCACATTACAGCATATATACCTTTAAATATAAAATTAACAAATTTTATGCTAAATAAAAAAATAACATTAAAAAAATCTGGAAAAATCTCATTGAGGAGAAACCGGGGCTAGTTGTCACATGGACTGTATTTCACTAACTATCATTTTATTATTATTTATATATACTGTTACAATATGTATTAATATTTTGAATTAGCTTTTAGCTTAAGTTTTATTTTGTTGTGTGCTTTCAACAATCATTATTATATATTTTTTTTTAGATTATTTAGATATTAACAGCAGATTCCCGCTGTGACAACATGGCCCGCTGTATGATCAAATGTTTGTGTGTGTGTGTGTATATATATATATATATATATAATGGTACACAATACACACAAAAAAAAGTGAGAAAAAGTGAGTGAGAAATGTGGACAACTAGCCCCGGCCTCCCCTGCTTATTTAGTGGTTTATTACATGCTGAGATATTACAGTACAGTTTCAGAGTTTGAGTTCTAATGTTTGTGTGTGTGGGTGTATATATATATATATATATATATATATAATGGTACACAATACACACAAAAAAAAGTGAGAAAAAGTGAGTGAGAAATATGGACAACTAGCCCCGGCCTCCCCTGCTTATTTAGTGGTTTATTACATGCTGAGATATTACAGTACAGTTTCAGAGTTTGAGTTCTGACCATCAGTGGTGTTTACCCGTCTCTCTCCTGAACATTAACATCAGCACCAGCTGTGATTAACAGTGAAGCTGCAGCAGTGTCTCCGGTTATGACCGATACGATCATGAGGGGCGTCCCGAACATCGACCTGAGGCATTATAAGGTGTAAATCAGGTACAACTACAACCAGACACTGAATGTTTATGTTAGTGGTCCTCTCACCTCACATCCGTCCTGTATGAGGTAGCCTACTGCAGGAGGGGCAGGTGTCCTCCAGCTGCGGCCCAGTGCAGAGCGCAGCAGCCCGATCCGTCCCGAGAGCTCCCCTTCACCACATTCAGGTGCCCGTGGAAACACGCGAGCATCAGGCTGATTCACCACACACACACACACACACACACAAGACCAACATGTTCAGACCATGAGAAACACACAAAAGAGCTGATAGCACTGGAAGAAAAGCTCCTTCACTGATGCACCAAAAGCTGAACTCCACTAGAACACAAAACACATGATAGATAGATAGTAAAGCCCTTCATCGCCGCCATCATTAGAGGAGTAAAGTCCAGCTTGTCAGGAATGTCCACATACAACTCACATTCTCATTTTTATTTGGTTTAACTTCATATCCTAAAATAACAAAAACTGAAGAAAAAAATGATTATAAAAAATATATATACATATTAAAAATAATACTAATAATAAAAATTACAAAATTACTAAAACTTTAACAAAGTAAAATGAAAATACACAATATAAAAAAAAACTAATTAAAAACTAATTAAAAGTATAGTAGTATCTCACTGATATTAAAATAGCACTGGTGTGAGCCCTGATGATTTAATTATTTATAATTATTTTATTACATTTATTTTTCCAATTCATGTTTATTTGTATAGTGCTTTTCACGATACATATCATTTTAAAGTAGGTTTACAGGAGATACATGTTTCTACATTACAATTAAGAGTAATTTGTTATTAGAGGTGACTGTTAAAGCGATGTTCATATGGCAGAAATGTACTGTTTTAGGATAATACAAATCATGCAGTAAATTAATGATGTATTCAAGCAGAAACGATGAACACGATTAAGGCAATGATTACATGTTGTGATCATGACGATTATAATGTAAGGAAAAAATAATAATTAATTTAATAATTTGCCACTCCTGGTTTTTGTAAATTTTAAAAACTTTAAAAAAGCTTTTTAAAAACTTTAAAAAGCTTTGTCATTACAGCAAAGTAGCAGAAGGTTGAGAACCACTTCACTAGAAGTCCTTTGGGTTAAAAGTGTCTGCCAAATGCATTATGTAAATACACATTTTGTGAATGAAAAAAAACACACTTTATCTAAACACTAAATCATCAGCTAAACTGGTGCAAATGTTGAATGAATCTCACATCGACTGCAACACTCGACAGAGCTCCAGCTCATCGCTCTTGAGGACGGCGTTGTGAAGATTCCTCCCGTTCAGAGGCTCCTCTGAGAGAAAAACAATCACACACACACACTTTTATTTGATTGCTTTACATTTAATAACATTAATTTTCCAACTGAGGGTGTCTGTAAATGTCCCTAAAGGAGGTTTGTCAGATTTAGTTCACTTTCAAGGACAATTTTATACCTAAACTATACACAGAGAGACTGTATGACACAAAACAGGATTAACTTACATTTAAAACAAGTATGTTACTTGAAATAAAATAAACAATAACTGAAATATAATATAACTATGAGTCACAACAAACTGTGCAGCACAAATCATTTGATTCTCATAAAATATCATACTAACTCTGACTGAATGGGTTGAGGTCAGATTTTAGTCTGTCGTTTGTTTTGTCATGTTTTGTGTCTTTACTTTCTGTAGAAGCAGAGGAACAAATCGTTCAAGAACGACCCAACACTAGTGGCGCTAGTAAACACGTCCTCTCTGCGCTGTCGAGTCAGTCGCGCCGCTCGGTCTATTGAGCCGTGCCTATGACAGGTCAGCGCGGCGCGAACACTTTAATACCGCGCTGTTTCGTCCCACATTTAGGTTGTTTGGCTTCCCATAAGAGACTGATGGGTAATAGCGCTGGTGACCAGACGGCCACGTGACCTTCAGTCTGAATGTGGTGGTCTTTGGTTCTAGATTCTCCACCGTGAACCGCGTGTTGTACCCCCTAAACAGGCCATAAACATCCAGAAAATACAGTCAGATTTTCACAACTAACCAAGAACTGTTGCATGATCAGCTCAGCTGTTCTGCATTTACATATTATTCTTTTAGGAGACGAAATATGCATTTAAAAGTCCTCTATCCACCTTTTTTTTTCTTACATTTGAAACTCGAATGTGCGCGGCTTCCGGTGTCATTCGCTTTCAGTTATTTTAGCTGTACAGAAACAGTCCGTTATGCTGTTTAATATCGCAATTATCATATTCTTTTCACTTATTATCATAACCATAAACACACGGGTTTGTAGCTCAAACTGTTTTACCGTTTACTGCACTTCCATTTAGCCTACTTATTCCGATTAATGCGGCTAATGAATCGGAAGTCTCGCACATTCAAAGAAAACAGCTTTCTTTCGCGTTGCAAAATAAGGTGGATATTGTTCAAAACATCTGCTGTTAAATGATGGATATAAGTAGTTTGATAAGTCTTTTATTCACTTATGTATCTCTTTATATGTGTGTTTTCTGTCGTTCTTCTGCTCCAGGATGAAGCAGGTCTATAGTTTCCCAGTGGATCAGTCCACTTCGTGTCGTGTTCTCGCGTCCAGATGAGCTCGATGCTGTGATGACTCACCTGTCCTACAGTCACCTGCTCACCTGCTGGACACGTGAGCACGAGCCTGCAACACTCTACCACTAGATGACACCAAAAATAGCAAAAATGACTGAGACAAAGTGGAGTTACAGTTCATTTAAACTTTATTGATTCTTTTTTTTAAAGCTGTAGATTTCTGTTTCTGTTCTGTTTTCTGCAGATTATCATGCTTAAGGTGTTATAAACATATCTATATTAACCCTCTGGTGTTGTTCGGTCGTAGACGGAAAACAAATGTTTTGAAATCTACGGCAGTCACTATGTGACCACAAAAAAAAACAAAAAAAACGCGGAAATGGTCATAAAAAAATAGTCACACTTGTGTTGTTCGCGGTCAAAAATGACCACCATTAGAAATGAATGGGAAATTTTTGAACAGGAAATTTTATTCCTGTTCATTTTTCTTACATTTTTGTTGAATTTTGTTATGTGTAACAAAATGTCTTTCTCTGTGTTCAGGTTTGACTGTAGTAAAATTAATGCAAAAACTGACATCTCAAACAAAAAAATCTAAACCTTTACAAAAAGCTGTCTTTGAGAATGTCTAAATATATATCCAAATCCACAACTTAATAAAAATAAGAATTTATGTCTAAAAACAACTAGAGAAACCATGGAATTGCAGATGTTTTTTTTTTTTTTTTTACTCCCACCAGATGGCATAAATCTGCCTTCAAAAATTGGATTTAAAAGGCATTGTCTCTATTTTAACATGAAATACTGCCATAATTGAAAAGTAATATAAAAATATTAGGAAAACAATTTATTATTTCCAATGGAAAAAAAATGATCATAACTATTGCATAAATATTAATTAGTATCATGAAATTATCTCAAAATACAAAAGAAAAAATATTATCATTGAACAAAAATATATTACATTGATTTTAATGAAAATAAAAAAATGTTACATTTCAGGTGTTCGGTCACTTTTGACCGTGAACAACACAAGTGAGACCCCCAAATGAACAATAGCCAGAGGGTTAAACACCTATCTATTATAAAACTACAAATGAAATACCTATAGTATAAAGCAGGGCTGTCTAAACTCGGTCCTGGAGGGCCGGTGTCCTGCAGAGTTTAGCTCCAACCCTAATTAAACACACCTGAACCAGCTAATCAAGCTCTTACTAGGCATACTAGAAACTTGAAGGCAGGTGTGTTGAAGCAAGTTGGAGCTAAACTCTGCAGGACACCGGCCCTCCAGGACCGAATTTGGGCACCCCTGGTATAAATGGTCAAATGCATATTACCTGCAGGGTCCACTGGCAATATGAACCTTAAAATCAATAAATAAACCGATCCAACTGAATACTCAATGTTTTGATAGGCTGTATCGCTATTGTTGCTATAACAACAGCTGCCGTATAGGCCTACATGTGAAGTGTGTGGAATGTAAGTTATAAGGGAGGCCGGGGCTAGTTGTCACACTTTTTAGTGAAAATATTTCTCAGTGTAGGCATATATTTGAAATTCTATTTGTGTATACACATACAAACCTTAACGTCTTGACTACATTTCCATCATTATTACCCAGAAAAAGAAGAAGAAGAAAAAAAAAACAGTTAAACGCATATTTTTGCTGGCCATGTTATCACATTAAAATATGATGACGATGGAATTGATCTGTTTTGTCTGGTTGTATATGTGACCATGCGCAGCTGCTCGGTGAATTAACTGGATTAACCGGGCAAGTCATGCGCCCGCGGTCTCGACAGCGCTCCTGTCCTGAGTGCGCACACGAGAGCGCAGAGCCACAGCACACCGGCGTTTCCAGTAGCGTGGGGTTTCCAGCACATTTCCAACTTTACGGAGGTTTTGAGGGTGTTTTTGGACACCTGCACGAGCACAAACGAATGATACGTGTGATCGGTCCTTATGGGAGTGAGTTTGTGAACTTCTTATAATAATGACATGCGTGCAGCTGCTCATTATGGCTGGAAACAGCGAGATCTCAGAAGGAGAACTCAAGAGAGAGGAGGAATCTGATCTGTTTGAGTTTGGAGATGATCTGGAGCTCAATCAGTTTGATGGACTGCCATATTCCTCCAGATACTACAGACTCCTGCAGGAGAGGAAAACTCTGCCTGTTTGGAAATACAGACATGAATTCATGACTTTGCTGGAAAATAATCAGATTCTTTTAGTCTCAGGCACAACAAAGACTGGCAAAAGCACACAGGTGAGTGTTTGAGACCCATGCATGCTTATTAATCACATTTCTACCACTTTTTGCTGTTGGTAGGATGCCAGACAGATGTCTAAACTATTCAATAAGTTCAAGCTATATCGATTTGTTTACTAAATTTGGCTGTACCTTCTTATCTGGAATATGCCATTGCTTTGGCATTCACCATGGTGTTAAAATTCAACAAGCTCAGATTTCAGGAGAATCTCAAGAAAGTGTGTAAATATAGCATCTGCTTTAACTGCATCACACTAATAATGCTGGAGAAGCACTAAAAATAACCTGGAGAAACATAAGGCCTCACTGCCATGAACACTTTAGAGTTTGAGAGCTTGAACTTTGCTTTTCTTTTCTTTTCTTACTATGGAAATCAATATGCTATTGAACAAGACTGAGTCCTGTCCAGTGTTGGGGGTAATGGATTACAAGTAACGCAAGTTATGTAATCAGATTACTTGTAAGTAACTAGTAAAGTAACGCATTACTTTTTCATTTAGAAGGAAATATCTGAGTTACTTTTTCAAATAAGTAACTCCAGTTACTTTGTTTCCATGTATTGACTGACAGCTCTGGTGTTGCCATGTTGAGAGAAATCAGGAGACGTAACGCATTACTTTCCATAAAAAGTAACTAAGTACCGTAATTAGTTACTTTTTTTAGGGAGTAACGCAATATTGTAATGCATTACTTTTAAAAGTAACTTTCCCCAACACTGGTCCTGTCACAGTTGTACATTGTTGGTAGTTATTGTTTTATTATTGTCGCTTTGTGAAAATTAAAGTCTAGCTATTAATACTGTGTTTATGACTAATCAATTGAGAAAATTGACTGTTGTACATATCTTGGAATAACTAGGCATCATGTAATTATTATTTATATCTTGTATTGGATTCACAAATCTCCTCAGCTTTATATAATTTGTCAGTAAATTCATTAAATGCCATTCCATTGCAGTTCAGATTCCAGACATGCTTAAAATTGAACATAATAGATGAACAATGCATAGTTTCAGCAGTGCTTGTACATGATATGAGTTTCATACCTGCTGTTTTGAGGTCTCTCTGTCTCTCAATGCATGTGGCCTGATCATGACGTCTTAAATCTGAGCAAATATACTTTACTAATCATTTTAAGTGAGGTCATCAGTTCTGTGTGGTGAGACTGTTTGCTGTGAGTCAGCTGCAACCATTGTGTTGAAGCCTATGAACAAACACTATCCATTCAGCTGATGGTTTGGTCAGTCGTAACAGACTTTTTGCCTCTGCTTTCATTTTTATATCATTTCAGTTTAGCAATTGTAAAAGAAAAATATATATTTTAGAAATAATACATTTATTTAGTTTTACACTTCTAAAAGTTTGGAATAGTTCAGATTTGGTCATGTTTTTGAAATAATCTCTTATGCTCTGCAATATCAACCAATATCAATATCGATAATAATAAGAACCATTAATATTAATAATAGTGCACCAATAATAATTGATCATTTTAGAAATCAGCGGTTTAGATGATTTCTGAAGGATCATGTGACACTGAAGACTGGAGTAATGATGCTGAAAATTCAGCTTTTCCATCACAGAAATAAATTACATTTTAAAATATATTCAAATAGAAAAGTTTGTTTAAATTGTAACAATATTTCATAAAAGTTTTACTGTATTTTTTATCAAATAAATGCAGCCTTGCATAAGAGACTGCTTTCAAAAATATTAAAATGTCATAATTATTCCAAACTTTGACTGGTAGTGTAGGTAGTTTTATTTATTTATTTAAAAACATGAAAGCCTTAAAATAATGTCTTTAATATGCAATTTTGCATGTCAGGAATGTTTAAGGATACTCGAAACAAGTACTACTGATTAAGAACTGATTTTTTTTTTTCAGCAAAAACAGATCCACAAAAAAAAAAAAAAAAGAATAAAATCATAATTTTAAAAAAGTAATGGGATTTTTTCATGTGTTTTATCATGTGAAAAGTTACAAATCAGTAGAATCTGTGTTGATTTGGCATTTTTGCATACTTTGCATATTGCATTTTACGATTTGCAGTTTGTAAATGTGCGGATGCGTGTGCATTGTGTGTTAAGTGGAAATAGGAAGCCTTGCATCTGTTCAGTTCACCCGACCTGCCTGTCCTCAGCAGATGCTTTTGAGATTTCCCCAGACTGCTCAGGCTGAAGGTCTAAACCTGCAGCTGTTAAACAAGTCAAGGATGGCTCTTAATGTGGACCAACTGCAGAGGAAGCCGTCCACAGGATACTGAAATAACTGTCATATTTGATTAACATTATTTATTTATTTTTCTGAAGGCTTCTGTAATGTTGTAGTCGAGTGCATCCAGGTGCTGATAGTATGTGTTCATGTCTTCAGATCCCTCAATGGTGTGCAGAGTTCTGTCTGTCTGCGCAGTACCAGCACGGTGCGGTGGTGTGCAGTCAGATCCAGAGGCGGCAGGCTGTTGATTTGGCCCTCCGTGTTGCAGACGAGATGGACGTAAACATCGGCCACGAGATTGGATACAGCATCCCGCTGGAGACGTGCTGCTCCAACGATACTATTCTCAGGTCAGTGTGAAACTCTCATGCATGCAGCCCTCAAAAGTGTGAAAAACCGCACTGAAATGATCCACACTGTTACTGAAGGTTTTCGAGTTGGGGATATTTTAGTTTTGTGCTTTGGTTTGTCCAGCTAAAGCACGAGAAGAATGTGCCGTCCTCTCAAATGTCTGAAATACTTTTTGCTTTATTATATACGGGTCACTGGAGGGCAGCGAGGCATTTCTCGGTCTCTCGCTTTGCTGTAGATTTGGTTATGGAGGATAGCGCTACTGAATAATCTCTGCCAATATGTTTTTTAGGGGGGAATTTTACCAAATAATAGTGTTTTGGCGTGCTTGATTTATAATAATAAAATAAAATATAATATTCATCAATATTCATTGATACCTTAAATCATGTAATTTATTGAGAAGTGTACTATTACTTTTCTAAGTGATTGATCAGATGATAGAAAAACATCTTTTAAATTTTATTTTATAAAGAAATGTCTAATCAAATTACTTATTTTATTTAATTTTATTATAGAAATATTTCTAGTCAAATATGTCTAAGAACATATTTTAAAAAATAAAAGAAAAAATGATTTTATAAAAACATCTAATCGAATATTATTTAATTTTATTACAGAAATATGTCTAATCAAATGTCTAAAACATTTTAATAAAAAACATAGGAACTTTTTTTTTTATTTCATAAAGAATTGTTTGATCAAATGTCTTGTTTTATTTAAAAAAGTGTCTAATCAAATGTCTTATTTTATTATAGAAATATTTCTAGTCAAATGTCTAAAAACATAAAAAAAGAAAAAAAAACATATTTTAGTTTATAAAGAATTGTGTCTAATTAAATGTCTTATTTTATTATAGAATTATTTCTAGTCATGTCTAAAAACATGTTAATAAAAAAGAAAAAAATCCATATTTTATTTTATAAAGACATCTAATTAAATGTCTTATTTTATTTTATTATAGAAATATGTAAAGTCAAATGTCTAAAAACATATAAATAGAAACAAATATATGTATGTGCATATTTTGTAGCATATTTATCTGTAAATATCAAAACCTAAACTACGTCTTGGTTGCAGGTTCTGCACTGATGACGTCCTGCTGCGGGAGATGATGTCAGACCCCATGCTGGAGCATTATGGGGTGGTGGTGATAGACCAGGCCCACGAGAGGACCGTGAGCACAGATGTTCTCCTGGGTCTGCTGAGAGAGGTGCTTCTCCAGCGGCCCAAGCTCAGGGTGGCGGTCCTGTCCGCTCCGCCTGCTTCAGACACGCTTCTCGCACACTACGGGAACGTCCCATGCCTGCACCTGGACGCCCCGTGCGCCGGGGAAGTGATCCACAGCAACAGCAGCAGCGCTGAAAGCTTCTATTCGGCACTGAGACTCGCGCTGGAGGTCCATCGGTCCAGAGAGCCTGGAGACGTAGCTGTGTTTTTAGCATCTGAGCAGGTGAGATGAAACGTGTTCGTGGATTAGAACCAACCCATGATCCTTTATGCATTACAGTTTATTGTAGCAATAATGCAAGCATAAATTATCTGGACAATCAGCCAGAGTTGACCTGGGATGATCCTGGAACTGGAGAGTTGAGTATTAACACTAAAAGTGAATATTTGATGAATGAATGAATGCATGAATGAATGCATGCATGCACGCTCACTGACCAAATAGATAAGAGAATTTATGTGTTGATTTTTACACTAATGTTCAGAGATTTTTATGTTTTTGAAAGAAGTATCAGCCAGTGCTGCATTTATTTGAGCAAAAATACAATATAAACGGTAAAATTGTGAAATAATTTAGCAATTTAAATGAACTGTTTTCTATTTGAATATATTATAAAATGTAATTTATTCCTGTGATGCAAATCTGAATTTTCAGCATCATTACTCCAGTCTTCAGTGTCACATGATCCTTGTGATCATGCTGATTTGCTGCTCAAGAAACATTTCTGATTATTGTTGAAAACAGTTGTGCTGCTTTCATATTTTTGTGGAAACCGTGATTATTTGATGAAAAGAAAGTTCAAAAGAACAGCATTTATTTGAAACAGAAATCTTTTGTACATTATAAAACATTATACTATCACTTTACTGTCACAATTGTCCACCATCAAATGCCTCTGTGATATTCTGGTGTGTAAACATGATATGAGTCCCATCTTCAAGTTGCTTTTCTAATAGCACACCAACAAGGGAGCTAGTTGCATACAGAAAATGGGGTTGGAGTTTGTTCAAATCCCTAATTGTAACTTTTATCAGTAGTAATAGTGATGCTTGCTGTAGCAAACAGCACTAACACAATGTTCTCCATTTGGTGTTCAGCACAGTCAGCAGCGTCTGAATGAATACGTCCACTCGGCTCTTTCACTGTTACTGTGACTCTGCCCTTTAAAATCACATTAATCAAATCATATATCTAATTGAGGTGAGGTGTGCTGTTACTTTTCTAACCCGTTATGATTTTCATCTGCTGGATGATAAAACGGTTGTAAAAATCCAAGACTTTCATTAAATGAGGGACCTAAGCCATATTCAGAGACCAGAATATCACAGAAACATCAGTGTGCAGGACTCTTTTCACACAAGACTGTAAGAAACCACCTAGCAACCACCCAGAACACCTTAGAAACCACATTGAAATGACCAAGGATCTATCCAGAATACCCTAGCAACAACGAAGCAACCCCCAGAATACCCTAGCAACCACCTAGAATACCCTAGAAACCACATAGCAACAACTAATCATCATCACAAATACCCTAGAAACCACCTAGCAATGACCAAGCAGCCATTTAGAATATCCTAACAACCACCTAGCTACTGCTCAGAACACCCTAGCAACCACCTAACAACCACCCAGAACACCCTTTTTCCTGTTTTCATGCTTGCTGAAGGTAATGATTGAAAAGTAGTTTGACCAATAACATGCAAGCATTGTACATAATGGACCAATCATGGCGTGTGAGAAGGTGGGATCTACGGCCAAAGCGATGCAATTACGCGTGCATATTAGGTGTGTTCGACTTAAAAGCAGTTGGACCAATCATGGCGTGTGAGAAGGTGGGATCTACGGTCAAAGCGATGCAATTACACGTACATATTAGGTGTGTTCGACTTAAAAGCAGTCCGATCAGTGTTTGACATCAAAGTACCACGAGAGCGCTTCGAAAGCATAACCGTCTGTATGGTATTTTGATGTCATACACCAATGTACACACGCAAACAAAGCCAAAACCTAGATATTTTAGGCAATATAGAAATCCTGGCCAGGACGCGTCCTGGGAAAATGCCACGTATGGTCACCCTACCCTAACAACCATTTGAACACCCTAGTAACCACCCAGAACTTAGAAACCGTATAACAATGACTAAGCAATCGTCCAAAATACCCTAGCAACCACCTAGCAACAACTAAGCAACACCCAGAATAGCGACCGCCAAGCAAAGACTAAGAAACCACCCAGAACACCCTAGCAAACACCTAGCAACCACCAAGAATACCCTATCAACTATTAGAACACCCTAGCAACCACATAGCAACAACTAATCATCATCCAGAATACCCTAGCAACCACCCAGAGCTTAGAAACCACGTAGCAATGACCAAGCAGTCATTCAGAAATCCCTAACAACCACCTAGCTACTGCCCAGAGCACCCTAGCAACCACCTAACAACCACCCAGAACACCCTAGCAACCACCTAGTATACCCTAACAACCAATTGATCACCCTAGTAGAACTTAGAAACCATCTAGCAATGACCTAAGCAATCATCCAAAATCCCCTAGCAACCACCTAGCAATGACCAAGCAACCATCCAGAATACCATAGCGACCACCAAGCAACGAAAAAGCAACATCCAGAATACGCTTGCATCCACCCAGAACAACCTAGCAAACATCTTGCTCTGCACTGCTCATTTTTCCTCTCGGAACATGTGTAGAAATCTTTATTGTGATTAAAAGGGGTTATTCATTGTAATGTCTTAAACATTTATGCATATATATAAGACATATATGACATTAAAAATTAATGAATGAATACATGTTTATAAGACTTTATAAATTTAAGTCTAACTTTGTCTTGTAATTGACCCTTCACAAATGTAGTCATTTTTTAAAAGAAATTCAAACAATAAATACCGTTTTGTGGCTCTTTAATGTGTCGTGACAGATCGCTGTAGCACCTCAGTTCAAGAACCGATTATCTCTTCCTCTTTACTAGTTATAGCCAGGGTTGCCAGGTTTTCACAAGAAAACCACCCGCCCAATCGCTACTCAAAACGAGCCCAAAACTAGCCCAATCGCATGTCGAGGGGGTCCCCAGTTAAAAATCACGTTCCAGGGGGTAAAATACAAATTTTTTTGCCGGGGCTCCCCTGCTAAAATTCGCATTCCAGGGGATAAATATAATGTTATTGGAGTCGCTTCAACCCGCGGACATGAAAAACAACCCACGGCAACAGCGTTAAGTAGCCCAATTCCGCGGGAAAACCGCAGACTTGGCAACGCTGGTTATAGCATGAAATAAACATGAATGAACATCAGAAGGTAACTTGTTTCAACTGCAGAAAGACGTCAATACACCGTTTTTCAAGTTCAAGTCCACTGACGTTAATCTACTCTCCTGTCTGGTTTGTTTGTTGAAATCATGTCAGATCTTCCTCTGGATCCGCAGATGGCGAAGGCTCTGTTAGCGTCCTGCGAGTTCGACTGCGCTAGCGAGATGCTAACCATCGCTGCAATGCTCACAGGTACTGCTTGAACACAGACTGTAAAATGTAGCCGACTGATTTTCAGTGACTAATAATCCGTCGACCGTGTGTTACAGATTTGTCGTCTTCTTCTTCTTATTATTATTATATTAATATGTTTCATATTTATTATTAGTATAAGACATTAAAATGAATTCTAAACTTTTATTAATTTTTCATGCCATGTATGTGTATATATAGAGAGAGAGACATTGAAATTAGAAATATAATATTTTATATACTATTAATATAATTATATATTTTTTATAAAAAAATGTATTATTTATATATTATAAAAATTTATTATAATATTATGTATAAATTATATATTGTAAGTCCAAAATGTATTCAGACACCTTCAACGCTTCACACATTATCACAGTTTATTCACTATAGTTTATAAAATGGTAATAAAATAGGACAAGAACTCAGAGTTAAACTGTGTCAGAACAAATTCAGCTTGATAATGTCCGATAATACTTAAGCAAAATATGGTCAGGTCAAAGTGTCTGAATATTTTTTAGTCCCACATTTTTTATCAATTTTACTGGTAGTCCACTGTATGAGGAATTTTTGGGTATAGTATGTCACATAACATGTGAGAGCTATATAAATATAATATGTCACAGTTTTTTATTTTGCTATCCTCACATAAATGAACTATAGTGTCCTGCACCCACTAGTAACAAAATATAAAAAATTATATTTTTGGTTTGACTGTAAATTTATTATTATTGAAATATATATTTCAGAATATATATATATATATATATATAGAGAGAGATGGATATGTATTAAAAAACATGCTCAAACTCCACCATATGTTTTGCGATCCATCTGCCTTTATGCATCTGTTTCCATCAGCACCAAGCTGCTTCATCGAGCCTCCCGTTGGCATGGTAACAGAAGTCATGCGCTGTCATGTGAAGTTCCAGCATCCTGAGGGCGACCACTTCACCCTCATCAACATTTACAACACCTTCAAACGCAGCCAGAAGGAACCATGTGAGTGACACGCTTTCTCTCATGAATGGGCAGGTGAACAGCAAGGGTGTGTTAAACGTCTGTGTGTGTGTGTGTGTCAGATTTCAGTCAGGAGCAGTGGTGTGAGGAGTACTTCCTGTGCTGCGACGCCCTGCAGACATCAGACGCCATCAGAGCCCAACTCACAGACATCCTCAAACGCATTGAGCTTCCTATTTCAGAACCAGCCTTTGGCACCAAAACCAACGCACTCAATATCAAGAGAGCACTGCTCGCTGGCTACTTCATGCAGGTCTCAAAGCATATGTTCTTATGAACATACAGCGGGTATAGAAAAGAATCACCCCTTTAAAAATAATCACATTTTGTTGCTTTGTAGCCTGAAATGAAGATGGACAGTTTTTGTTTTATCCAGCTGTATTTACTCAGTGCATTTTATAACATCCAAGTGAAAGATATAAATAACACCAACATTAAAAAATTTTTGAATCACTGAGTTGAAAAAAGGATCACCCTCCTCCTAAAAATGACTTGTAAACTCAATCAGGAGCCAGGAGGAAACTGGTCAGAGTGGCGACCAAGAGGCCGACAGCAACTCTGAAGCAGCTGCAGGAATTTCTGACAAAGAGTGGTCATTGTGTGCATGTGACAACAATATCACAAATTCTCCACAAATGTGGCTTGTGTGGGAGGGTTGCCAGAAAAAAGCCACTCCTCGAGAAAGGCCACATGCAGTCAGACTGAGCTTTGCCTAAACACACCTTGAAGATTCTGAGGCAGATGAGATGAAGATTGAATTATTTGGCCTCGACACCAAACGATATGTCTGGCGGAAATCCAATAGAGCTCAGCATCCACATAACAGCATTCCTCCAGTAAAGCATGGAGGAGGTGATGTGAGGTTTACCTTCCAACATGACAATGAGCCAAAGCACACAGCAGAACTGAGCACACAGTGGCTGAAGGCTACAAAGCAACAAAATGTGATTATTTGAAAGGGGGGTGATTCTTTTCTATCTCACTGTATGCATAAAGTTTTTTTTCATGTCTTAATATATTATTTATATATATGTGTATTTTGACTGATATATAATTGTAATGTATATATATATTGTATTATATTATCCATTTACTCAATTCCACATTTTATATATTTTTTATTTTGTTTTATTTACTCGTTTACATTTTGTATTTTATTTTTTATTTAGTTTTGTTATATATATATATATATATATATATATACATA